TGGATTCCATTTGTTTCCTATGTTTGGATTCCATCGTGTTCCTCAGCTCCTCTATTTTTTTACCTATGTCCTCTCTAGATTTATTAATCATGTCGTGCACTATGGACACAATCTCTGCTGTTATCTGAGAAATTATTTCTTTCTTTTTTGTTTTTTTTGGTACCAGGATCGAACTCAGGTCCTTGTGCTTGCACAGCAGGCAGCAAAACTACTGAGCTAAATCCCCAGCCCTCTGAGAAATCATTTCTTATTTCATTTTTTCCAGATCCTCTTTTGTTGCCGGTTCAGGGAGTACAGGTAGTTGAGTATCAGAGTATTCCATCTCCTTTCCCTTTGGGGTTGCTGTAGGTGATCTGGAAGTCTTGTTTTGAGACTTGTTTGCTTGTATTCTCATTTCAACCAGGGAAGTGGGTGGTGCTGTTGGTGCCAGCACGGCTCACCTCCTCTGCACTGAGAGCGGTGGAACAGAGGCCCAGAAGCCCCTACCTCTGGGCTGGGAGCAGTGGAACACTAGCCCGGAAGCCCCTTCCTCTTTGCTGGGAGTGGTGGAATGGCAGCCTCAAAGCCCCTTCATCTGGGCTGAGCAGCTGGCTGGATTATTAATAGTTATCTTGTAGGAAGATAATTTTTCTCTACGTATGATGTCATACTGCAGACTTAAAATACAGATTACTGATAAAATGCATGAAATGATAAAAAATAGAAAGAGATTCCATAAAATTTATATCAAAATAAACAGTTAACATTTCCTGGCAATCATTTGTTAAGGATAACAAGACTCTGTACAAGGATATTGGTAGAAAGAGTAGAAAAAAAGATAAGATTTGAGCCTTTTGGAAGAGAAGTGAGCCAAGGCTATGGGGAAGACTGTGAATGAATAAATAGGAATGGATGAAGGTATATGAATGAATGAATATAAGTGAATAGGCTGGAGCAGTCAGCATCACACCATTATTTTATGGTTAAAGCAGCCCTTGGAGACCCCCAGTGCCTCCCAGGCCCATCACCACTCGTGCTCCCCTGGTAGTTTAATGAGAACTAGCGTGGGGTGGAAACCATAGGTGGCTCTTAGCTGGCACAGAGAGCTGCTTCCTCCCATAGGCTTTAAAAGCGCCAGTGGGACCTGGTTACTGGATCTCAGACTAGGAGTCCAGGTGGTGACAGGACAATGTTTCAGTCAAATGAACAGACCAAGATGTCCCAGGAAACATGGTCTTGCTTTGTAGACATTTGAGACTGAAAACTGAATACTAATAGTCATTTGTAGATCTCTTCCCATTGGCTTTTGCTATCTTACTGTAGATAAACACATGTTGTTTTCAACTGGAAGTCTCAAGGCCTCCATGATGAAGTCAAATTTTAACTCCTGAGACCCATATGAATGATAAAGTATGGCCCTGACCTTGGCCCAATTTCATCACTAGCTGGAGCAAATCAACTCAGTAAACAAGTTTTTGTGTATTTATGTATTAAATAGATTTGTAATACCAGCCCAGTTTATGTGGCAGGATTACTTTGAGCTTTATATTGTATAACATAAAAATACTATGTAATCTGTGAAGTGTCATATATAATTGTGTGTGTGTGTGGTTACTGCTGTTACTTTTTCAGAAGATACATGTTATTTTCACAAAAAGTACATCCTCTGAAGAATACCTTGGCCACGCCCCAAAGTCTGACTCTTGGTTCTGTGTCTGGAGCACAAGAAATGGGGAACTGCGGCCAGGTGAGTTTACATGAATATTGTGATAGAGACCATAACATGTGTTCAAAGACGAGCTCTCTAAATAATGGGCCAGAAAAACATAGAACTATATGAATGTATATTTATATTACAGGTGAAGATCTCAGAGGTGACCTTTACTAGAAGGAGAAAATAATTTTTAAATTCACAATTTCACTTCCATTCAGAAAGAAAATTATGTACTATTTGATTATGCACTGCAAGCATACTAAGAAATTATGGCCCTTGGCTCTCAAGTGTGAAATGGAAAGTTATAGAAATATAAACAATGTTATTTATCAAAGCCTATAATCAAGACAGAACTTCAGCCCAATCAGTTAGCTTTAAGAAGCAAACCATAAGCACTAGGCATAGAGGCGCACACCTGTGATCCCAGCACTTGGGAGGCTGAGGCAAGAGGATCACTCAGAGTTCAAGGCCAGCCTGGGCGCTACACAGTGAGTTCAAGGCCAGCCTGAACAACAAAGCAAGACCCTGTCTCAAAAAACAAGAAAGAAAAATAGAAACAAGTAAACCATAAGCAAGATTGGTGGCACATACCTGTAATCCTAGCACTCTGGGAGGCTGAGGCAGGAGGATTACAAGTTGGAGCTCAGCCTGGGCATCTTAGCAAGTTAGCAAGCCCTTGTGTCAAAATAAAAAATAAAGAACTAGGGATAGAGCTTAGTGCAAAGGACCTGGATTCATCTTCAGTACTGGAAGGAAAGACAGACTGATCGACTGATCAAATCAGCTAGGTGATTGCTCTTCAACACAGGGTGATAACTATGCATGTACTATGCATGTACTTCTCCATGTATGGTCCCCAGATCAGCAACATCAGCAAGACTTGGAACTATTGGACCTGCATATGCTCAAGCCCCATCCCAAATCTGCTGGACTGGACATTCTGGGGTGGGGCCAGCAATCTGCATCTTTATATGTCCTCCAGATCATTCTGATGCTTACCAGAGGTTGTCACATTCCTGTACAGATGCCTGCCCCAACACAAAAACCATCTTTATGGTTTTTCACATTTGCTAAAATGGCTCCATTCTTCATGCCAAAGGAACTAAGGTTCTTGACTTGGTTGACTTCTAAACTTCAGAGTTATAGCAGCTAGACCAGGCCTATCTTCCCAGACTTACAACCTAGGATCAGAGTCTTCTTCTCTGGGTCTGGGTAGTGAGAAGACAAACAACACTTGTCAATCATAATCTGTGGCAAGAACCGAGGAAGCTGCAGTGTTCAGTGCTTGGTGATCTCAGAAGTAAAAACATCCCATGTGCCTTGTTCAAAGGCCTTTCAGTACACTGTTATGAAAACGTAGAGATAAAGGGAGAAAAGCAGGTATATGGAGTGGCTCTTAAAATGACTGGGTTATGGAGCTGGGGATTTAGCTCAGTGGTTCTGCCGCCTGCCTTGAAAGTGCAACGTCCCAAGTTCAATTCCTGGTACCCCCCTCGCCCTGCAAAAAAAAACCTAGTGGCTTAATAGAGATAGGAAGTAGGTTAGTGGTTGCCAGGGCCTGGATGAGAGGGGAAAATGGGGAATGTCAGTTATAGGGTTTCTTTGGGGGTGATGAAAATGTTCTAGGATAAGTGACGATGCTGCACTACTTTGGGAGTATTCTAAAACCCCAGAAGTGTGAATTTTTTGCTATGTGAAATTTATCTCAAAAAATGTTTTTGAAGCCAGGGATTTAGCTCAGTGGTTCTGGCACCTGCCTTGCAAGAGCAAGGTCCCGAGTTTGATCCCCGGTACCAAAACAAAAACAAAAACAAAAACAAAAAACAAAATGTTTTTGAAAACCAGTGGTTTAATGGGAAATTTGATTATACTTCCTTTTTATTTCCCCTCCTCCCACAAGTAGCCACGGTGTAGCACATAAGAGATGCTCAGTGAGCTCTCAGTTGGCTGCTTGACTGCTCTGATCCCTGAGAAAGAGGCTCAAATGAGCAGGCACCTGGGCATTACATGCTGTGGTCTTGGTCCCTTGGGATGGCCCCCTGTGGCAAGCATACTTTTTCCTGGAGCGAATTCCTACCTCCAGTTTGAGAGATTCCTCGGGGATTGTGAAGGGAGAAAGGAAGCGTGGGCTAGAGAAAAATGACTTCTTGCCTTGAGCGTGAGTTGTTTCCAGTTCCCTGTGATGAGCACAAATTTGTTTATGCCGTCAGAGGAGAGGCTTGAGAGGCCAGCTGCTGCCCCTTGATGTGGAGAAGGCGCCTCTCCCAGGCTACCTCCTGTGCTGCCTGCAGACAGCCCCAGGGAATGGGTAGGATGAGCTCACAGGCCTGTTGGAGCGTTCAGCCCGGACAAAGACCAGGCCCTTCTGCTCAGGATATAATCAGCTTTGATGTGCATAGGCTGAGACTGTTTTTCCAATTAGGGCTGTTAGAGGATTCTGGCAGGGGCAGCAGTAGACTTAATTTTACAGACCCAGGACTCATTGAATTAGCAAATGTAGAGGGGATGAGAAGGGTGCTCATGGGATAGGTCCTGGGGTAGAGATGGGGAAAAGGGAAAGGAGGCCCAGAAGGGTTTTGTCTGTAAAGATATGGTGAGGCCTGACAGTGTGGTCAGGGCTGCATTTGAACTAGGAAGTTTATGCCAGCAGGATGGGGCAGGGATTCCTTTGGTACTGGTTAGGTAGGCCTGGTGGGCCTTGTTGGTGGTGATGTGGATTCTCAAAGGCCATTGTCAAGGCTTCTGGACAGTTTCATGTGCCCTTCTTGCTTCCCAGGGACCCTGCAGCTGCTGCCTTCTTCTCCTTTCTAGAACCCACAGTTCTAAGCCACCCCAACAGGCAGTCTTCTGGTTTGTGAATAAAGAACACTGGAGCCAGAGAAATCCTTAAGTGTTCTGAATCTATATCTTCACAGAGAAGGAAAGTATTTCTTAGAGAAGTTTAGGAAACTTGCTAAATTCCTATTATATGCCAGAGAAAGGACACTGCATCTCCTTTCTTTCACAAAGAACCTACAATTGTAACATGTTGCAAAGTACGAATGCTGGAGGCTGCAGGTTTGGAGCATTCCTTCCAGAACCTTGTCTTATGATTGTTTTATTTTACTGACTTAGCAAGTGACTTTAATCCTCCCCATCTTCTGTCCCTTCAATTCTGTCAGCCAAACTAGACTCCGGCTGCCTGGCTACCAGGCAGGTCCCAAATATCAAAAGCTGTTCAGCCTTAGAAATTGGCCATCGACATCACTGTGGAGGACAAATAAGTATAGAGCATCATGAGATTGCTCATTTCGAGCCCAGCTTCTCCAAGGTCCCCTCACTGTGATTCACAGATCAATTAAAGGCTCAGTAATGTCGTATGTCAGGGAGCTGCTTGGAGGGAACAGTCCAAGCCTCCCCTGCTGCTCTGGTCCACATCACCCTGATGAGATTTGCTCCTCCCTTGCCGGGTAGATAAGTTACCATTGCTTGTTTCAAGAAAACCAATTAAGAAACCATAAATTGCAATCAACTAGAAAGGTCACCGCACAGGCTGTAACTACAGGCGTTTCTAAGCCATGAGTGGAAGTCTCTGAAGCGCATTCTCTCCTGCACACCCATGTCCTCCAGCTGAGGTTTTCCTTTCATAAAATGAGAGAATATCCAGCCGAGGATCAAAAAGGCATTCCCTGGGTTTTTCATTTTGCAACCTGACGTCTTGGGTGAACCTGGGAATCTGAACCTGTGGTAAGACTACACCTTAGGCCACCCCATCCAGACTTCAGGTTTGGTTTTGGTTTGTTTTGATTTTTCTTTACATAACAATTATTTCTTTCTTTTTTTTTTTTTGGTACCAGGGATCGAACTCAGGTCCTTGCGCTTGCGCAGCAGACGGCAAAACCACTGAGCTAAATCCCCGGCCCCAACAATTATTTCTTAACAATGTATAAAAGCTATATGAGTTCAAAGCAAAACCTTGGAAAACACTGAAAAGCAAAACATAGAAATAATAAGTCGATCTCACCCCATTTGTAAAAAGCAAAAAACTGAACATTTTAGAATGTATCATTTTAGAACATTTTAGAATATATTATTCTAGGGGTTTTTTCTAGGCTATATATATATATATATATATACACACACACATATTTGCTTTTCTTTATAAAAACATGTTTAAAGAGAGTCATTTAGGAATACTGTTTTGCAGCTTGTTTGCTTGGCAGTATTTATGTTAATATTTTTCCATAATATTCCACACATATCATAATTTTTTTACTTTCCCCCTGTTAAGCATTTTAGATTGTTTCCAGATTTTCACTTATAATGCTGTGGTAAACATTACTGAAGTTAAAAAAAAAAAAAAAGCTGGGGATTTAGCTCAGTGGTGTCACCGCCTGCCTCATAAGCACAGGGTCCTGAGTTTGATCCCCATTAAAAAAAAAATCACTGAAGTTTTCATATAGTCATGATTATTTCCTCAGGTACATCCTTGAAGTGGAATTGCTGAGTCCCTGATCTTTAAGACTGATTCATGTTGCTAAGTTGCCTTCAAGAGAGGTTGACCAGTATGTGTTTGTGACCACTGCCCTTGCCAAAAATATGAATACATATTTTTAACCTTGACCAATTGGTTGGGTTAATATGTCATGTTGTTTTGATCTAAATAGTCAGTACCTAGACACATTGCAAAAGGCTCCTAGAACCACTCATGAACCTAACCTGGAGTACATGCCATCCTGCTAGCCTCTGCTAGGCCTTCCGAGCTCCCTCATCCTCAGGAAGGTGTCAGTGACACTACCACGGTCCCAGGTCCTCCCAAGGTACATCTAGAGCCAGGCACTGGTTGGTGAAGAGCCTTTTCTGGGCCAAACCAAGGATACTTCAGGGCCAGCCACCCACCTGGGCTGCAGGCCTGAAGGTCATGCACAAATCTGAATGGGAATCTAACAAAGCAGGTGAGTGAGCCTCAGAGCAGAGCCAGGTCTTGTTTATCCCACCAAACTTCAGTGCTCAGCAGCAGAGAGGAATCTCCTGAACTCAATCTTTTGGGATAC